TGGTTTAACTTAATTTTAGATTTGATACTTATATATTTCTGTTTACTTAAATTATAATTTCAACTACACCTTTCGCAAAATTCGAGTTCGAGATGTGTAGATTAAGATAATTAGCTAGCGAAACGTATGGTATTCTGTGTAAATCATTATGCACTGTACCCTGCCCTGAAGTTGTGATGAATGGACCAAATTGCTTAGTTAAATAAAGAGATTTACCGTATTTATAAGCTGCATATTTATTTAAGCCCCAAATGATAATTAAATTCCAGCTGAAGAGTTAAACAAAGATAATTTGGACAGTTAACGAACATGTTAGTTTAAAGGCTCTGAACTTGTGATACGAAAAGATTATTTCTCCATTTTCTATTCTGCTTTTTTTTAATTATCACTTGGGTTGTAGTTTTAGTTTTGCATAAATCTAACAACAACACATACAAATAAAAATTTCCAATTAATGATATTCTGAAATGTACCTGATTTTAAATTTTGTTTTTGTGTACTTATTTCAATTTGAGTTAGTTAAATTACGATATATGAAATAAGTTTCCAGTTATGAAAACATATGAAACGAAATCATCGGTAACCAAGAAGATAAATTAAGTAAAACAGAAGATAATAAATTTCAGAAATTATTTTTTAGAAATAAAAAGTTACTCAAATTATTAGTGCTAAAAATAGACTATTTTGCATGTATATAGCGATAAGCGTGAGCGTCAGTGATATGCTTCCGTCTCTTTATTTACTCTAAAACGCATTTTAGCTAGAATTTTGTGCAGGAATAAGTGTTATTAGGGGAAATATTGGCTTAAAACATTCGGATGTTTTTTCTTTAGAGGGAAGGAATCTTGGACAAAATTTCTATCTTGTAAATTTATTTTAGAAAAGCGAAAATATTAACCGAAAGAAGACAAGATTTCGTAGAGAAACTATGAACACTGAAAAGAGAAATAGAATCATCCTATTCTTTTATACGGGTAATTTTATTTTATCGTTTTCCATACTTGAGAGTGTTAAAGAAAATTATACAATCATGAAGGAAATTGCTGCAAAATAAGTAGAAATACTGTATCTAATATTTTGGAAATTTCAGTATTTAATAATTTATTATTGCGTTCACAATACTATTGTAAAACACAAATCCTACAGGACGTCTTAGTTGAGATAGGTTTGGTTTAATTTAATTACTGCAAAGCCTCAATGGCTATCTGCCTAAGTGGAGGAATACGTTCGTGGAGAACATTCTAAGAGAAACTGGCTCTTATACACGTTACACATGGGAAACACTACGAAAACGCCCATGCAGCCAGCTCGTTCGAACCTCTCGGACCGAATTACCAGAGTTCAGCGACGTTAACACTCGACCGCTGGTGGGCCCGTCTTAGTTTAGTAGGTCCCAAGATATGTATAAATGTGGGCAAACATACAAGATAAGCATATAAGGTATTTCTCCCGCCTTCTTGGCATGCCTTCGTGGTGTGGTATTTGCATGCTGGACGCGTATTCCAGAGGTCTGTGGTTCGATTCCCGGCGAAAGCGTTGCATATTTTTAATCTTGCCTGCTTCCAAAACATTACCTAATGCCTATACAAGCAATAGTAATCTGTCAATATGTAACCTGACATATATCTGATGTACTGTCTTATTAGCAAGTGCTGGAAGAGATTGGCTGATTACAATCCTTCAATATGTGCACCTTTGATCAGACACATTTCTACACGGTAATTAAATTCTTCACAAACTCAATGTAGCATGCGCGCTGTGATGGTCTTCAGCCCGTGCTTTATCCGACCACAAATTTCCTCAAGGCACATGGGAATTGGCAGTACATAAAATCGGTTTTTAACAAAACCCCCAAAGAAAGCAATTTAATAGTGTTAAATTTGGCGAACCGGGACGCCAGGGAAGACGGTTCTTGTTTACTGTTGCAGTAAGTCTAATCCAGTGCTGGTGAAGAACACGATTAAAAAGCTCTCATACATTCTTGCAAAAATGGGAGGGCGAGCATCGTCCAGTTTCAAAATGAATTCATCACAACTGGTGTTCAGCTAGGGTAACAACCAGATTTCCAACATGCCTAGAAATGAGTAACTGATCGCAGTTTCTTATTCAAAAAAAAAAAAAAAAAAAAAAAAAAAAAAAGGCCATGCACTTTCTTGCGGGATACCACATAGAAAAAGTGCACGAACCACAAATCACTGTACTGAAACCACAGATCTGGACACTTCAAAACGGAGCACACACAAATCCTTTTCCAGTTGCAGCGCTATCCTAGAAACTGACGCTGCGGCTGCGCAGCAAGAATGGCAAGCAAACAGCAGGTAGCACATGAGAAACTTGGATAGTCCCCAATGCTTATGATGTAGATTTTACACTGGTAAGGTAACACATCGATTTATTATTCATTTTTAAACTTGTACCATTCATTTATAAAGATTATGTACTAACATTATGTGAAGTTAAATTTCAAAGTTTAATACTAACATTATCTAAGTGGGAACATTTGATTTTAATTGCTTATTTGATCGCAAATGCAAGATCTGGAAAACGTAATGACTTCTTTGAGAGAGAATGCGATCTTCTAGTATCGGCATGTCAAACTCAAACCTCGCGGCTACTCATGAAAGGGGACAAGTCCCCAAACGCGATTCATGTTAATAGATATTCGTCTGACCTCTCTTCCAAAACTTGCTAGTGCGAGCAACATGTCTTTGGAAATCCGAAAGCTAATTGCTGAAACATTATGCCGTGCACTGAGAAAGAAACAATAGCTGTCTGTCTAGTATCCAGATTTGATTATGTTCCTTCTATTTTTTTCAAAAGCTCCCACACACACCGATCAATGAATTAGGAAGCCAAGATTAATATTTTACTGGACAGCCTTCTGCACGAATAAATGTTGTGATTCGTTTGAGCATCGAGTCTGCATACTTCTGGAGTGCATTTTATGTCCAGAAAATAACAAGCATTGTCTATACAGCTTTTTATATCTTGTGGATTAAATGGAAGAGTTAATGGTGTCGGATGCGTCTTTTCACCATATCCCACACATTTTCTCTATGGTTAGGATCCGGGCTATGCGAGAAAGGTGTTGAAAGTCAGATTAATGTTTAGCGAACCAATTTTGAACACTTCTGGCACGATGTATAGTTGCATTATCGTACACGATGTATCCATTAGGGTCAAAACGTAACATAGCAGTGTGCACTTCATCTGTCATTATATCTAGGTATCAAATGGCTGTTTGTTTACACTCGAGGAACACCAGGGCACCCCTTCAATGCCAGCAGATAATGTCACATATCATAACCCATACACACTGCGAATAAGGCAAAATGGATTCATGGCTTCATGGGGTTCTCGGGTCTAGAGTGATTCATCCGACCATATTACTCGTTTCCAATTCTCAGATGTCCAATGTCTTCTTTCCTGACACCACTGCAAACGAATTCTTGCATGTCGGGCAAAAATGAGTCGTTTTCTCACAGGCACCCGACTATGCAATCCTACAATCTGCATTCTCTGCGCTTGGTTCAAACTGAAATCCGTTGGGCAGAGCCTTGGTTGATGATCAGTTGAGACAGTAGAGTCTCTGTCCTGCTGTACAATTCGTCGGAGACGACGCCCATCACTCTCTTGGAAAACTATACTCGAACCGCAGTTACGTCTTCTATAGAAGGATTGTGGGTTCTGATTACAACGTTTGAAAACCTTTGATATAGTTGCTTTTGGGAGTACAGTGAGATTTGCTGCCTTCGAAATCGAGGCTCCTGCTAAACGGGGACCAACAATAACCTCCTTTTCAAATGATGAACGATCTGTCATTTCTGCCATTTTACTTCATTCAACGTGAAAAACACTCTTACACCTACCTTACATATAATAGCATTCTATCCACGTTTAACCCACTCATAAAAAAAATTTGCATACCTCTTCTCCAGCACGCATTCAAATGAAAATCTCAATGATTTCTAATTCATTGGCCAGTTCATGGGTATTAGGTAAGATTTTATATATTTACTCACTCTTTCATTCACTATATTAATTAAGTAGGGAAATAGTTTTGTGTGTCTTACGGCTCGCACTGATGATTGTTTGGTCCATTCAAGGTATCTACTTTGACACGGCTGCTTTAGGAGTTGTTCACAAATGCTGCATACCATTTGGAAATACGACATATCGGTCTTCATCATTCTGGAAATAGTCACAATGTTCCTCATGCAGTTGAACTTATCATAATGCATATTTCTGTACTCGACTGTATTCATTGTTTTAAAAATATCGTAGGATTTCTAAGACATCCAAAACGCCCATGGAATTTTTAACCGTTTCTTATATCCTAAATTTAAAATTAAGTTTTGTCAGACTTTTCATAGGACATTTGAAAGACGAGGTCAATAATCACTAAGATAAATCAACACTCAGCGTGCAACACACTCATTCATGAGTGTGTTGCACACGTATATTTGAGAGTATGGTAGAGATAAAACATTTTTAATTTCTGAAATCGAAAATCTTACTACCCTTTAGAGAATATAATAAAACAACTGTGGAATAAAAAATTGCTTAGTTATTTATACCTTTAAATTTTACTGATTTGTTTATTATTTGAAATATCTAAATCACTTCATAAAAAGTTTAAAAGCTTGATAACAAGAAATTTGCTGAAATGCAACTGAAGGACATGCACGTGATATATTATAGGTTAATAACAGAAGAATTTAAGTTTAAAAAAGTTGAATATTTTTGTATGTTTCGTTAAATAATTTGAAGTTATCTAAGATTTCAACAACATCGACAAATAATTGTTCAAAAAATTGTTTAACATTCCTAACCAATTTTAGCATCTTATTGAAATAAAATAATATAAAAAAATGAAAGCTGCATGCTGGTAATTATAAAATGTTCCATTTTACAAGTTCGCGAAGCATGTTAAAAATTATAGCTCCTATTTGACACAAAATTGAAAAATGATGTCATGAAGATTTGCTATAAAACCTGAAGCTACTTTGTAAGCAGAGTGTTCTCTTTTCTTTCTGATACTCCGCACCTTTGTGGTTACTCTAACTTATTGTTTCATGCTAAGCTGCCTTTAATCTTCTTGTCTGGTACTTCTGTACCCTCGGTTCATGGAAATGTGCGTGCAGTTCCTGTGCTGGTCATTTATAGCAACACGTCGCCCTAAAGTTGAAGTTCCTGTAAGAAAATTAAAAAAAAAAAAAAAAAAAAAGGTTCTGTGAGAATCCATATAGCGACGAGTGATTCGTGATGAAGCAAAAAAAAAATAACTTTCTTCTAAACGACAAAGCCGTATATATACGGCTCAGAATATTTTTCCGATAGCTGTAAGAAAGTATATGTGCGGTGCATATCAAAATATGTCAAATCAAGTTAGGCAATATATTAAAAGTACAAAAATGCAGAAGAATAATTACATTAAAATCAAGAAAACAATTTTTTGTCATAATGGTTTTGGGAAATTTGTGCTTTCTTAGCGAAACCACTGGCCGATCAAAGCTTTAAGACGTAAAAGACATTACTAGCTTTTGTTTTGGATTTCCTAAAGTTTTAGACAGCCATTACTTATTTATATCTTTCTCTTCTCTAAAATACCTAAACTGCGCTGTGGGTAATGCAAAACGATGAAACGATAAAACCGCAAAAATTTTTAATTAATTACAAACAATACAACAATTGCTTATAAAAACTGTCAATTCGATATATTGGAATATTTTATTTTGTACCTAGTATTAGACATATTACACCGAAATTCATTAGAATCTCAACCACATGTTATAGTTGAGTTATAGATTTGACGACACAGACACCCCGCAGGTCATTGTCAAACTCCCCAGATCTCCGTTAATGACATTGGCAGTCACAGGTTGTCTAAGAGGATAATGTGGACTGCGACCTTATCGATCGATATTACCTATACGTTGACATATACCTATACGTTACCTATACGAATGACAATCATTCCTGACGGATAGCCCACTAAATTATTAAGAAATGCGTGTTTTACTTTTAAATCTCTCAGAGTGCCCATTGATAAATCAAAGAGAAAATTTTATGCTCTGTAACACTATGGAAATCCGTTATAGCCATAGGGAGTGAAAAATTGAAAATGTTATGCATTGACAATATATTTTAATTAAAACTGACAACGTGGTAGTGAAACGTAATTTGTTTGTGAGTTATATAATAGATCCAGAAAAGAATTGACTGTTCTAAGAACATGTCTAACACCATCATGTAAACATTTTGACAATCTGTAATTTTGTTCGAAGAATTTTTTTAATGTAAGGAAATTCTGTTCTTTGCTTGAGAAAAGAGTAGGAGAATATTAAAATGACGATTTTATAGTTTATAGTTCTGCAAAAAAACATCAGACCGTAACTAATTCTGATGTGGATAAAAATATCAGAAAACAGAGAATTTAAGAATTAATGCCACAATCAAGGATGTTTGTCTTCAAAGAAAATCCTGCTCAAATTAAACTCACTAGAGGAAAAACCCAGAAACTGTAAGTCAGAATAAACTTTGGGAAATGTCAAAGAAGATAAAAGAGAAAGAACAGGATCATTCCTCTTTCCGATTAGTTGCGTTTAAATTGCAGCTAATCAGGAGAAGGAAATCGAAACATCTATCTTTGCAAGCTTTTCAAATAACAGAACTAGATCTTCGCAGCGAAATTTACGTCTACTGGTACTTAATGAATGGTGGTTAGGAACATAGCACTTTTCCGATTCTTTGGGTTTGTTAACTTAGCAATATTTAATGCAGTATTGCATCACTAACTAGTCTCATTCATCATATGGGTTATCTGTTCGTAAAAAAATAAATATTAACAAATATAATTATAATGAAACATTAATGTTAATACTCTTGCTTGTACCATGAATAATACCAATGAAATTAATTTAATGACTGAATTATTAATTGGTATAAGTATGTTATTTTATATTGTTAATGAAATTATCCTACATTAAAATAACTTAAATTAAGATTTTTATAAATAATAGACCCGATTTTTAGATGAGTTTGTTTCATAGATGTAAAACAAAAATTTCATTTGATGCACGTCAAGTAAAAGAGGGCAAAACACTCATTTTGGATTTAAAAAAACTATTTTTGCAAATGGCGGTTTTATAGTAGATTTTTATACTCTGCAAAAGAGGCTTATCAGTATTCAATACCACACTGAATATGCTAAACCTATCCATAGGCGTATTGACGATTTAAAATATTTGCCGTTATTTAACATTGCATTAACTTGAGATTGAATCAGCTGCACTGATGTCCATAAACTGGTACTTTGCAGGTACCATCCTATAAATGATTGGAAACATTAATATGCAATATTACAGCCAAAATTTTGTTATCTTCTTGAGACAGTTTATAAAAGTGAGGAAAATAACATATAACACGTTTAGGCAAAACGTGGATGATGTATCACTTCCATACATTCTTTGCCAGTCTATTCATGTAAATTTTAACCCATTGCCTTCCAGGCCTTTTTTGCTCAGGCGAACAAGGCCATTTGAGACCATTTTTCGCATATTTGGTGAATTTCTTACAGCTGATTAAATGATTTCACGCACAGTCTAAAGAAATCCAATGGTTCTTTTGTGTCTGAAAATACTTGCGGTTATGTGGATCTTCCGCCGGACGGAAACGGTATTTCTTCGGATTCTGCGCAAGTTATATGTTCTGAATTTTCGGTCTCTTCTGCCGGAATCACTGTCGCTTTTACATGCACTATTATCCTGATGTTTTGTTCTGGTACATCGTTTTCTTCATCGCTATCTTAAATAACTGTTTCCTCCTTTCAATCGTAAAGCAGTCTATGAGACGTAATTTTAGTCTTCATCAACGAAACATCGAAGTTATCTTCACTTGAATTCTTACCTTCTTCGTATTCCATGCTCATTGGGCTTCATAAGTGGTAAATTTGAAAACAATATTCCTATTGCCACGACCATCGAGTTCGAACTAACTTTGAAAACGCATATATAACGATAAATCTAAAAAGTATTTACAACTAAAGATTGTCAGCTGTTTTATACACACGTAGAGTTCAATATTTGCGTATAAAGTGATATTGCCCAAACCGAACCTAAACAAACATCGTTATTTCTCGAATTGTTGCGTCAAACCGAGTGGTGATTGAGTCAGCCCTTGAGTTACTGCATCAAATAAAATGGTAACTGGAAGTCACCTCACGAGTCAAGTCATTAAATCAAGGAGTGACCGAGGGTCATCTCTTGATGCAAAAGGAGATAAGGCCGAGTTTTATGGAGCCTTTCGTTTGTTTTGAACTTCCTCATCTAGTAACAACTGATATTAATAAGTTATTGCTAAAAAATTCAAATTGTTACTTTCTAAAAACATATTTGAATTGCTGAAAAGCGTTGCTAATTTTTCATCTTGCCTGCTTCCAAAAATACCTAATGTCCCTACAGGGATATAACATTTTATTTGTTTAATTAAAATATGAAGTCTAGAATGTTTCAATGATATTCTTTTCGATGTTTTAATCTTAGAATTTTATTTGTTATTTTACTGAGCATTTTTTTGCAACAAAATTCTTTTAAGTTAAGGCATATATTTACAGTACTTGAGAATTTAGTAAATTTAATTTCTTGTAAGGTTCCGTGATTATTTTTACATAAAATTAAGAAATTAAGTCCGATAATTTATAAATTAATTACATCTTTTCCAAGGTACCTTAACTCCAATTTATTATAGTTAGTTACCAAGTTCTTACCTAACTCTTCTTAATTAGAAAAGAAATACATTAAACAAAATAACAAATGGCAAATGTGCATTTGAGTGATTTACATCCATCTTCATTGAACTCTTTTAATTAAGCCTATTTTTAACGAACATATTAACATTTTATAGATTCTTACGAACTGAAGCTTAATGAAATTGATTTCACTTTGATTAAACTTAATTTTTATAAATTAACGCTTTCTCAGCAACATAATGTATGTTAAAACTTCATATCGGTAAAGCAAAAAAATATTTCTCGCAAAAAAAGCAAAAAAAAATATTTCTCGCAGTGATAAATTATTTTTTATGAGATCCGTTTTCACTGCCAAACTAAATTATGAGCCATAATGCAAATTATTCTTAACATGTTCATTTATTAAAGGGCTTCTCGAATATTTACCTCTGCAAAATTGTAAATAATTTATGCATTTTTCATAAAAGATAAAAAAAATAATAGTTGTGTTGCTCTCTCTCCTCTTCATTTAAACTGCTCTCGTATAACTTACGCATAATAAAATCATAAAAAATTAATTAACTTCACTTAATGAATATATATTTTATGCACAATTTGAAATTTCTAGCGGTGAAAAAAATTAACCGCCGCATGTCATTTACTGCGTTTTTATGGGCACTAGAAATTATTCTACAAACCAATTTTTTTTTTTACTTCCTGCCAACTTAACACGGGTTATGTTTTGGGTTCAAAAATTTGATTGTGAATTTTCAATTAATAAACAAGAATTAGACACATCACAATTTTACTAATTTTACACCAATGTGTATCTGCATGTTTTCTGTTTTTAGATGCCTATACCTGCGAATTTTCCAATTTATTTTCATTTAGTCTGTATTAAAGAGAAACTAGAATAAAATGCTTTTCTGCAGTCAGCAAGGAGAAATATAACTATATCCAGTAAATATGTGTAATTAAAATTGATTGAAACAATGCATGGAAATTTAAACGTGTGTTATTATTTTAAATTTAATATTTTAAACATGCATATTATTGAAAACAATATATTTCATTTTTAAAAATAAAAATATTCTTGGAAATATACCAAATGATAAGAGAATATGCTCATTATAATGGTGAGCTCTCTCTGTGAAACAATTAAATGTGTTAGGCGTAATCCTGAATTTTGTGTCTGTTTCACTTTTGCGTCGAATCACTTTTCAAATAAAAGGATGCTGCAACCAAATTTATACCAGCTAATGAGCTATAATCAATGTTGTATTTTCAAATGAAAAATGGGAACAGATATGTACCTGAGCACGTATAGTTATCATTTTCCATTGGGAATATTTCATTCCGTATAGTTTACCATGGGAGACTAGAATAATAATAAAAGAGCAGCGTTTATAGTTAACTTTGATCGGCAAAGTTTGTAAACATATAGATTTTATTTACAAACCATCAA